GTACCTATTATTGAGCTTTGACATGCTCACATGACGTTAAACTAGTCCCACCAGCGTTGGCCCAATCAATAGCGTAACGGGAGGATCACATTATTGATTCCAACATGCTTTAGAGGCATATCATGGGGATCTTTGGGACGCTTGGCATGTCGAGATCGACATCTACATCTGCAATATACAGCGTTCAATATACGCATGTGATCCGATTTTGTGAGATACCCGAGGCTCAAACATGGACAACCTTGGGCAGTATCCAAGCCATCGACAATGAAGATCACAAGATTGGGCCTCAAGGGATAATTTTGAACTGTCACATCCAGTTCGCAACAGTCAATTAGTTTCCCAAGGGCCGATCTACTGGGAACCTGCCGGTCGCCGGACGCCCGACGACGATCGATGCACACATCCACGAATAGATTACAGATGGATCACGGTTTCACAGGACATGGCCAAGAGCCGTTGCATCATGCATGTCAATATAAGGCAAGTGCATACCAAATCCCGTCAGCAGTACTCCTTAGCCGATATGAACAGGACTCGAGATTTAAATCCTAGACCAAGGCGAGGCCATAGCGGACCGTTGAACAAAGTCAGCGTCGCCATATAACGGCCAGACGGCCAGACGGGAGGAGCCGTTGACCAACCCCTGCCCCTTCAATCAAATGCACGGCCACTATTGGTACCACGGAAAGAGCTTTCCTTTACCGAACATCATACTGGAAAGCCGTTAGGCCGGGCCTTTCCGTGTGAACAGGGGGATGAAACGATCCTGGCCCAACTCTGGGTCATTACTTGCTTATGGAGTTGAATATGCTGATATCTGATATACAAAAGGGGCCAACAAAGATTAAATACACACTACTCCATACAGTTTGTAGTTTCTTATAAAAATTGACCGGAAGAGGCCCTGTATGATCAAAAAGAAAAAGCAAAAATAAGAGAAAGAGAAAGAGAAGCCAATATGGTTCCGTCGGGACCCGGCCTATTACGTTCAACAAAAAGCTGGACGGGAACAGTTTCCCCGATATAACCCCCCTTTGGCCCGCGGCCACAGAACTGGGACGGGAGACGGAGCCATCCTGGGCCCTATGGGTTGATGCCCAACCAGTTGCCTACTATGGAAATAGAGCGGCGGGTTTATTCTACGGAGTATGGAAAACAGGAACAAAAGAAAGAGGGGGCAAAAACAATCCGAAAGCAAAAGAAATGGAGAAAAAAAGGAATTTATATGGAGCACAGGGAGTGCATACCCACCTTCCGAACTTCCTCCCGTTGTCTTGTCCACCTTCGTAGCTAGCAAGACCCTAGGACGATCTGTGTATCAATGGGGACATTTTTACGCGCCGGTCCGCGGGTGGACATTAAATGGTATGAAGTGTAACATTTACCGGTATAGGCTATTTGGACCTGCCTAACTAACCATTCGGTACGCCAGATTGACGACAGGGGATAGAGAGCATCGGATCCGGGAAAATGCAAGTGGCAGGGATAGAATGGGCAGGGGTAGAATAGGCAGGGCTAGAATAGGCAGGGCTAGAACGTGGAAGGCGATAACGAGCGCCAATCTACGGAGCAAGTAGGCCAAGACTCCTAGACTCGTTCGAGGTTGGCGTTGAACCTTTACAACATAAAGAGGAGGTGGATGTTCCGGAAACCAAAAAGCAAGGTGTGATTAGGACCCATCGTGGCATTCGTTTGACTTGCGCTATTTGGGTAGCGTCTCCCAGGGCCATGGAGAGAGGGAGACTTTATTACTGCTCCAGGGCTATACCTAAGTAGGTGTTATAATTGTAAGGGGAGTACAACATACGAATAAGTTGATAGTAATTAACTCCGAGATTTAAAAACCATGGCGATGCATTGAGTGCCACCGACACTAACTTAATTAATTTCATAGAACCAATTGCGCTTCAGATAATTTGTAGACATCCAATGTATAGTTAATATATCATGAATGACTATTCATAGTACGGAGTAGGGCAAGCATGAAACCATAGATCGTGTATTCCACGTGCAGACTGGGGTGCCTTAATTTGAGAATGTAGATGAATATAATACATAATATGTTTCTCTACTCCGTAAACGATTTTTTAATTAATTTTAATGAAAAAAATAAGAGAAGAGAAAAATAGGAAGCTCAACTCTCCAAAGAAATGAGCTTCAAGTCCGGGATTATCCACTGTGCCCTGTGCGCTTCTCCTTTTCACGGTGGGACCTTGGACCTTCGACTTTTCTTCTCTTTCATTTTCGTTTGCCTTTTTTCTTTTGTATATAACTTTTTTTTGCTTTTTACTTTCTCCGAGATCGTCTGATCCGTAGGTTTAGAAAGGATTTTTAATAGAGATCTTCGGATGTACAACATATAAAGGTTTTAGAACAGAGTATAGGTAAGATAAAGGGTATAAGATAAACAGAGAAAAGCACAGCCCTCGACTACAATTGTGGATATTAGGAAAATGTACTCTTGTAAAAATGTATGACTTCATGGAGCTGTCACTGAAGGCTTTTGGCTTTTCTCCCTAATTATAAGATTCCCTGTATATGTGTCTTTTTTTTGTCCTTTTATAGGTTTAGCTTTGATTCATTTATTTTTCACACCCGAAACGGTCTCGGAGTGTAGGGTAGAGAGAATAGAGAGGAATAGGAAGAGAACAGGGATGGAGGATCTCGGGAAAAGTACGAAATTCATCTATAATTTATCTATTTGATATTCTATTTGATATTCTATACTATTCTATGTTCTTATATATTTCTAATTGTTTAATATCTCCTTATATTCTTATATTCCTTATATTCCCTATATTCCCTTGAACCCCTCTCTCCACTTGGTTCCAGCCCCCCCAGACCAGACTTCGCACAATCCCCCTCTCTGTCTCTCTAGGCTTTTCTCTAATTCCCTTTTCTCTTTCTTCTCTCTTCCCATATCTCCCCTTTGCGTCAACCGGCAACAATTGGGGGTTGCTGTGAATCGCGTGGAAGCCGCTTTTCTTTTTTGCCCCCGCCTGGAACGTGGGCCACTTCACACCTTTCCCCCCTCCTTGCGACTTCGAACCTTCCCCCTCTTTCCCCTGAAATAATTATAGGTATGTCGCTTGCAAGCTGCGTCGCTATGTAGGTACTGACTTTTCTAGCTCGATTGTCTTTGTTTCTTCTCGATCTGTTCTCAATTCCAGTTGCCCGCCATGGCTGGAAAAATGACGTTGTACAAACTGGTGGTGTTGGGAGACGGAGGTGTTGGAAAGACGGCCCTTACCATTCAGGTTGGTCAAGCCCTCGACATCTGGACAAGAAACCCGACTAAAACTGTACTAGTTGTGTCTTAATCACTTTGTCGAAACATACGATCCGACCATCGAGGATTCATATCGCAAACAAGTCGTGATCGATCAACAGTCGTGTATGCTCGAGGTGCTGGACACAGCGGGTCAGGAAGAATATACCGCGCTACGAGACCAGTGGATCCGGGATGGCGAGGGCTTCGTATTGGTATACAGCATCACATCACGCGCCTCCTTCTCCCGCATCACAAAGTTCTACAATCAAATCAAGATGGTCAAGGAATCGTCAAGCTCCGGCTCCCCCTCCGGCCCCAGCTATTTGAACTCGCCCATGAACGCCTCATCGGGTCCCGCAATGCCCGTCCCCGTCATGCTAGTCGGTAATAAGAGCGACAAGGCTGTCGAACGCGCAGTCTCAGCACAGGAAGGCCAAGCATTGGCCAAGGAGCTGGGATGTGAATTTGTCGAGGCATCGGCGAAGAACTGTATCAACGTGGAGAAGGCCTTCTACGACGTTGTCCGCATGCTGCGCCAGCAGCGACAACAGGCGGCAGGTGGGCGTGGCGCGGACCGTCGCCCGACAGGCTTCGGATCGGGCCACCGCGATCGCGACGCAGGCCCCGAATATCCCAAGTCTTTCCGGCCCGACCGGTCGCGGCATCGCAGTCGGCTTCAGTGTACTCTCTTGTGAGCGGCCGGGTCCGTCCGGGAGGCGTTGTTGATTTCTTGCTCACTGAAATAATGGCTGTTTCCTTTTTTCTCTCTTCCCTTTGTTCCGGGTGCATCTGGAGGGTTCTGTCTTTTGGTTACCTCGTTCGGCGTCGGTGGTCCTTGCCGTGCTACATCTTTTACGCTCGCATTTTGAAGAGCTTGAGAACTGGTGTGGGGATTGAGGCCAGTGTCTGCAAACCTTGAGCGCAAGTTATTTTGTTTTGGCTTTTGTTTTGATCTTTGGAAATGCGCCCAGACATGCAGATTGGCTGTCTAGATTTCCACAAGCTCCCCTTACTCTTTTTCCTTGATCGTTTCTCTCCTTCTGGTCTCTGCTTATTTGATAAGTTGCGATCGGAGGAATCTTTCGGACCCGCCTAGGAGCCCCCCGAAAGAAACAAACCAAAAAAAATCCCCGGCGACGAAGCCAGAAGATCGCAGTCGCGCATTAGCAGGCATTTCGATATGATACCCTACGACTGAGCTTGTTTTATTTGCTTCATTTTTCAGCCATTTATGCGATATAGACAATTGATAAAGGTGTTCTCTTTTTCCATAGAAAATCCCCAAGCAAAAGTACTATGGTACAAGCGTAGTACCTCATTCCAGGGCGTAATTGACACTGCCGCATGTGGTACACATCGGGTACAATCTGGGCACTTGGGTACGAAAGAAAGTGCGGGGGAAAAGCACGGACTCGCCTCGCATTCTGGGGGAGTCTCAGCTTCACCTCCATTCACCTCCAAGGTTTCTCTCTTTCCCAAGGTTTCACCCCGCGTATGGCGCACAGGTAACCAAACATGAACTGACATGTCTTGTCGATCTTTGTCTTACCTTCCTTCTCCCCGTGCCAATCGCACTATTCGATCCCGACAGACCTCGGGTATAAGCGCTCCATATCAGAGCCCCAGAGTATTATTATTTGTCTTGTGTAACCTGTTTCTCTCTTAGCTTCTCTATCAAATCAGGCAAATAGCTTTCCCATTCGAGTCTGAATCCGAAAATCTAAACATGTCTCCGCACCCCCAACCAACAAGCCACTCACACTCCCTTGGCGACCCAGAAACATTTTGGTCCTATCACGCGGCCAGACTCCACTGGCACAGCAAACCTTCACGTGTCCTAACACGGAAGACGAAGTCCCTACAGAGCGGAACCGAGCACGAGCACTGGTCGTGGTTCGCTGACGGCGAGATCTCCACAACCTACAATTGTGTCGACCGGCATGTACTCGCAGGCCATGGCGACAATGTTGCGATTATATGGGAATCACCAGTCACTGGTGTAACAGAGAAGTATACTTATGCCCGTCTACTCGATGAGGTTGAGGTTCTTGCTGGTGTGCTTAGGGAGGAAGGGGTTCAGAAGGGCGATGTTGTTATTATTTACAGTATGCAAACCAACAACTTCGTGATCACACAAGCGGAGAATTATTAAAGAAAAAAGGAACCCAAAATTGACGACGTATTGCATCTAGTGCCAATGATACCCGCAGCCCTAATAGCTGCGTTGGCAATAACCCGCTTAGGCGCAATCCACGCGGCCGTCTTCGGTGGGTTCGCCCCGCAAGCTCTAGCACAGCGCATTGAGGCTGCGCGCCCGAGAGCTGTAATGACAGCGTCATGTGGCATTGAGGGGTCCAAGGGGCCCATTTCCTACCGGCCGCTCGTCGAGGGGGCCGTCAAGGCAAGCAGCTTCAAGCCGAGCAAGGTCATTGTCTGGCAGCGAGACCAACTCCGCTGGAACCAGCCCGATAAGCGCGGTGGACAGCGTAATTGGCAGAGACTCGTTAAGAGCGCGCGGTTCCGTGGGGTTAAGGCTGGACCCGTTCCTGTTAAGAGTACGGATGCGCTTTATATTATTTATACAAGTGGTGAGTGAATCTAAGAACGGAAATCTGGTTCCTGGTCTGTTTTGTTCATACTCACATATTTCCGCAGGAACAACTGGTCTCCCCAAAGGCGTCCTCCGCGAAGCAGGCGGGCACGCCGTGGGTCTGGAACTCTCCATAAAATCCCTCTTCGGAATAAAAGGTCCCGGCGACACAATTTTCTGCGCATCAGACATAGGCTGGGTGGTCGGACATTCGTATATCCTATATGCGCCGCTGCTAGTCGGCGCCACAACCGTCCTGTTTGAAGGCAAGCCCGTCGGCACGCCGGACGCAGGGACGTTCTGGCGCATCATCGAGAAACACAATGTGAATGCGCTCTTTACAGCCCCAACTGCCATGCGAGCTATCCGGAAAGATGACCCGGACAACCAGCTTCTCGGCGAGGTCGGGAAGCGCGGAGGATTGAAATCTCTCCGTGCTCTTTTCCTCGCCGGTGAACGTAGCGAGCCAGGTATTGTTCGCTCATACCAAGATCTGCTTGGTAAGTATGCAGCGGACGGTGCGCTTGTTATTGATAACTGGTGGTCATCTGAATCCGGATCCCCGATTACGGGTGTTGCGTTGAACGGGAGTGCTGCCCTTACTAGTCTGTCATCCGGACCAGATCATTCTCCCCTCACGCCGCGGCCTGGTTCAGCAGGTTTTCCAATGCCTGGGTTTGACGTCCGCGTTGTCGATGACGAGGGCAGTGAAGTCCCGCGCGGAACAATGGGCAACATCGTCATGGCTGCGCCGCTCGCCCCGTCAGCGTTCACAACTCTCTTCGAGGACGAAGAACGGTTTTACCGTGGGTATCTTAAGCGGTTTAATGGCCGCTGGATTGATACCGGTGATGCGGGAATGATTGATAAGGATGGCTACGTGCATGTTATGTCGCGGAGTGACGACATCATCAATGTTGCCGCGCATCGGTTTAGTACCGGTAAGGAATTTGATTTTCTTCCCTTGCAGCCGCCACGATCTGAGGACACTTGATCTGACCCATTCCCACAGGATCCATTGAACAAGCAATCCTCTCTCATCCTTCGATCAGCGAAGCAAGCGTCGTCGGCATTCCCGACCCGCTAAAAGGCCACCTTCCCTTCGCATTTATCCAGCCCAAAGCCGGCGCGATCCCTGGAGAAACTGGACCTCTCCCGGCAACACCGAGCCCGCAGTTATTTGCCGATGTCAACACGTTGGTCCGTGAGCAGATCGGAGCGATTGCATCGCTGGGTGGGGTTATACAGGGTCGGGGGATGATTCCCAAGACGCGGAGTGGGAAGACGCTTAGGCGTGTTCTTAGGGAGCTTGTTGAATTTGGGCTGAAGGGGGAGTATGCGGCGGAGGTTAGTGTGCCGCCTACTGTTGAGGATGCGGAGGTTGTGTCTGTTGCGAGGGAGAGGGTCAGAGAGTACTTTGAGGAGAAGAGGAAGGCGAACGCGGTTGGGAAGTCGAAGCTTTAGATGGTGGGATAGGTACTTGGATATTGTCATGGCTGTATATACGTTGGAGCGCTCTATTCCGACTAGTGTTTCGATAAAGCGCTGAAAAGCATATGGACCGTTTGAACGTTTGGCTTGATGAGCCGCTGCATATCGCTTTTTTTTATGTAGGGCGATGGATCCCGTTACCCAGTATTTAGTTGCTTTTCCTCCTCTATAGGTCCTGATTTCCGGCCTGTTGTTTAATGAAACCGAATGATCGCGACATCCGCTTGTAGTCATCGACCTCTCCGACCCAGCTAATGTACTGACCAGGGCGAATAATGACACTAGCACCGCGGTTCCGATCAATGCCATAATTTGTGTAAGCTTGACCACTGAAGAAGTCTCCCAAGGAGGCGTGGTTGAAAGTCAGTTCAGTTGTTCAGAACTCATAGTTGAAATCGTACTGGATTTCGATCTCTTCGGGGGCATCGGAGTCATCAAATAGCGCATATAAATCAATAGTCTCTTGTTTGAGAGTACGCTGAAGGTCTGCGGTTGTCAACCCGTCCTCGCGAGCCAAAGCAAAAATTGATGCAGACTCCCCTCAAAGAGAGCCGTTAAGCCGGATCCACCCCCTCCTGGTTTTCTCCATTTTAAGATGTTGTCGACCTCGGCCAATTCTTGGGGACGTTGATATTTCGAGTACCGTCGTAAGAATCTCGGCTAGATTTCCTAACTGGGCCTTACAAACACATATGCAATATCAATGCACGTCCATGGCCTATGTAAGATAATGGATTACAAGATCTGACGCTATATTGGTATTAGAAATTGCAAAATTTGCATATTCGCGTTTTCAGGGCCCCCATCCTTTAGATATAGGCCTTCGCTACCAGGGCTGAAAGTGGAACTAGGAAGTTCCGCATCGGAGCATTCTCCCGCAAGGGCGGAAGATCAACTTCGCCCAAAATTGGTCCTCAGGGCTGGCCTTCGCTTTCGGATCTAAGCTTCGAAACAGAGTAAAAGATCGACTGTTCCTGATTATGGAGAGTTGATACGCGGTACAGTCCTTCGGGGTTCGTCGCTCCACAGTAGAACCCCACCGACTCCAACGGGGTATACTCGTCACGGACAATTTCCGACAGCAGTTGCTTTTCTTGTTGGGAAACTGTCTCTGTTCTATACTTTGTAGGTATATATCCTGTGCTCGAATTAGAATTTTCTCACTTGCCGGACCTCGATGCCGGTAACGTCTGGACTCACACTGATCAGCCTGGTTAGGGCTAAGGATACCTGGAAAAAGGGGCTCTAAAGTCGACTGAACAAGTAGGAGGATCTGAGAGACCCTGCGTGCCTTGGCTTGGGTAGGTAGATAAAGGAGTCTACGCCCTTGTAGAAGATAAACTTCTCTTTTACTCAGAACACATCCAACTGATCTCGAATTTCTAGTCCAATACCTACAGAATGAACTTCAAAATCCTGTCCCTCCTCTTCGCCAGCCTAGCCATAGCAGGCCCAATCGAGCAGCGCCAGAGTACCTAAGCACCACCTTCACTCCATCCCAATCCCTAACTAACCTAATATTTGTCAAAGCTTCATCCTCAGGCAACGACCTCCGCGCCGGTCCCTGCCAACCAGTAACCTTTATCTTTGCCCGCGCCTCTACTGAACAAGGCCTCCTCGGCAGCTCGACCGGCCCTGCGGTCTGCAACGACCTCAAGAGCGCCCGTAACCAGAACGTTGCATGCCAGGGCGTGGGCCCCAAGTACCAGGCGACACTGGAAGCGAATGCCCTGCCAGCAGGGACATCTGATACGGCGATCGATGAGGCGAAGGGATTGTTCGAGGAGGCGGCTAGGAAGTGTCCTGAGACGCAGATTGTGGCGGGAGGGTATAGGTATGTATACATATTTCCTTTATTTTTTACCTATCTTTCAAGCTGGAAAACGTATCAGACGACTGATGATGATGGTTATGATAGCCAAGGAACAGCCGTCATGCACGGCGCCATCCCCAAACTCTCCGACTCTATCAAGGACAAAATCAAGGGGGTCGTCTTGTTCGGTGATACCCGGAACCAGCAGGATAACGGGCAGATTCCAGACTTCCCTAAGGATAAGATCAAGATTTATTGCGCGGCTGGGGATCAGGTCTGCCATGGGACGTTGATTGTTGCGGCACCGCATTTTACTTACGTTGCGGATACGGGGGATGCGAGTAGGTTCTTGGAGGGGAAGTTGGATTGATTAGATCGGACCTCTCTTGGCTGGAGTATATTTTGATGTATGCTGGCCGTTGTGGTGGGTGGTTGTGAATGTGAGGGGTGGACGTTGTCAGCGTGTAGTATTAATCTTTCTCCCGCGTCGATTATCCACAAGTCTCCTTGGGAGAATTTCCCTATTGCAATAAGGAATGAATGAATATATCCTATCAATTTATATTTTAGCAACGTCTTCCGAAGGAATAAATTGCTGTCGGAAAATATTGAGGACATCTAAATTGACCGTAGAAGCAACCGATAAGTTTAATCTCGGGGGCGAGAAAGGTGAGTGTGTAATAAACTCGGTGAAAATCATATGTAGTTTCATCTCTAATTCCAAGATGTGTCTATAAAATCCATTCTAAAACGCCAAAAGCATATCAGGTCTAGTTCACCTCTCATTCTCACCGTTTACTGAATCACCAGCTTATGCCGACGCACAGTGACCACCATCGACTCGGAGATCAGCACCGGTCATCCAAGCACTAGCATCAGTGAGCATGTATACAGTGGGCCCCTTGAAGTCCTCGGGGGCGCCGAGACGACCGAGAAGTGCACCACGCATCCAAGTCTCCTCCAAGTCCGGCTTCTCCTGAAGCAAAGCGTCAGTCATAGCAGTGCGAATGTACTAGAATATCAATGGTCAACCGGATTCACTCAGGTAAATTCAGAACGTGAAATTGATCCCTTACTCCTGCGGACAGTGTGTTGACGCGGATATTGTGCTGGCCCCATTCTTGGGCAACCGATCGACACATCTGGTGCACGGCGGCCTTGGAGGAGTTGTATGCGGTGCAGGTCAATCCCTACGGAAGGTTCAGTTGTGTATTATTCTCTAATTCGACCTGTTGCGGGACTTACCCGGTTGGCAATCTGACCAGACATAGACGCGATCATCACAATGCTGCCTGGAGTCTTTTGCTCCACGAATATGCGCGCACAGTGCTTGGCGGGAATAAATGTTCCAAGAACACTGAATAGGGAAATGGCAATCAGCAAGATGCTCTTGCATCACAACATTATCCGACTCACTTAACATCCAGCATCTTCCGGTATCCATCGATAGGGTAATCCAGAGCGGGGACCATCTGTTGGATGCCGGCACAAGTAATGGCACCGCGCAAGGGCTTGTTCCGACGCAGTGCCTCGGTCGCAATGTCTTCCAGTACTTTCTTAGTATTCTCCTCATTGGTGATATCGCACTGGGTGTATGTTGCTCGAAGACCGCGCTGCTTGGCCATCTTCTGCACGGCGCTCCATTCCTCTTCACTGGGGTCGGGGAGCAGATCAAGACAGGCGACGTCGCCACCAGCTTCAAGGACAGCAGTGGTCAAGCACATACCAAGACCACGACCGCCACCGGTAATCATTACTGTGCGACCGGCCAAAGAGAAGAGGTTATTGGTAGGCACGAAGGCAGCAGGGGTCTCATTGGACTCCGGCACGACTGCCGGTGTGGTGTGGTCGAGGGAAACAGAAGGGGCCATTGTGAGTCAATGTTAGAGCTCTGGTGGATAAAGAAAGGTCGGATGTGAAATGGTAAATTTAATTCTTTCGAACAACAGATTGGAGCATGTCTGTTTCATATAAGACATATGCTCCAGCGCGTCATCTTCAGCCAGACAATCGCTCGCAGCGGGTATATACGACCTAACTAGGAAATGTTCAGCTCGATGGATCATATTGGAACGGAGTTTTATGAAACCTGTTCGAGGTCCAATTTTTCATTATGCAGTTGCCGATTTGGACAAATGAGGCCGATATGCGCAAATACGATCTGGTCGTGAAGTCAGATGTCTTCTCAACGGGTGCTAAAATATGCTGTTTAAGGAAAGGTGTTACTGCATATCAGTGGAGAATAGGGCCGCAAACTGGGGAACGAGCTGACTTGGAATGCGACAGGTTGAAGTGGTGTGGTTTCACGTGACCGTGCTTAAATCTTCCCAATAAGGAAATATTTCATTTGGAAGTTTAACCGGTCCAGGGATGCCGAAGTGTTGAACTTTGGACTCGGTCGGCTGCTTTTCTTCTGATAAGTACTTTATCCTCCAACTACACAATCTTTCCCTGCACTTCACGCAAAATAACCATAGAATAACCGTATGCATAAGCTCCTTTTCCCTTAGCTCGACAGCACCCACCCTAGTTCAAGTAGGACAAATATCCAAATGATGCGGCATTTTCCATCATTGTCTCCACGAGGCACCCCGCGAACCGAGTTCATTCGGCGGAACCTTAAACATGGCAGGCCGGGGAAGTTCAGATCGACTATGTGGGAACTTGGGCGGTTTCACGGAACCTTGAATGGCGCCACTTTTGATGGGCTATGATACTGTCCCCGGTTGTTCAAGTTATAAAAACCTCGAGGGTCCCACTGCCTTAGGTAGCCTTGAGTCAAAGTCCACCGGTGCTTTGTTGCGCAATACCTGAAAATCTTAGCCCATTCAATATACCACCATGACTTTCCTCGTGGGTCGGTCTTTAAGCTATGCGATCACGGCCACTGCTGGTAGTGGTTTCTTACTGTGAGTATACAAACCTAGTGCCATCAGGTCCGCAGGTAAAGGGGTTGTTCGGCTGACAGGGATGTTCAGATTCGGCTATGACCAGGGTGTTATGTCCAGCCTGTTGACTGGAGATGCCTTTGTTGCCACATTCCCTGAGATCGATACCACTGAGACTGGACACGGTAGTTCTTCCTTACAAGGCACAGTGTGAGTGATCCGATACCCTGTGTACCGAAAGAGGACGCAGACTGACTCCACATCGCGTACAATAGTGTTGCCATTTACGAGATTGTAAGTGCTCGTTTGTTGGCAAGATCCCATGCTATTCCATTTCTAACAGGCCTAGGGCTGCTTCTTGGGTGCAATTGTTTCTCTGCTCGTTGGTGAACGACTCGGTCGACGCAAATGTATCATGGCTGGATGTGTTGTTCTGAGCATCGGTGCTGCTCTTCAAGCCAGTGCCTATAGCATTCCCCATCTCATCGTCGGCCGAATCATCGCAGGTGTTGGAAATGGTCTCAACACAAGTACCATTCGTGAGACACCCTTCACTTGGATTTCGGTCCCCCATCCTTTTACTTCTCTTTGCTAATATTGCCACAGCGGTCTGGCATTCGGAGATGAGCAAGGCGGCAAGTCGAGGCAAAGGAGTGAGTTATACATGGAGCGTCTTATAAACTCTGGGACTAACCTTCCGATCAGTTGGCCATCGAGCTAGCCATCAACATCTTTGGTGTGATGCTTTCATATTGGGTTGGTGAGTCTTCATTCCTGTCCACGCCATTGGCCAAGCCCTGGTGCTAACTTTTGGCTGTTTCTTGTAGACTACGGGATGAGCTATGTCAAGAATGAAGCACAGTTCCGTTTTCCTATTGCGTTGCAAATTCTGTTTGCTATTGTCACCTTCCTCGGGGTAATTTGCCTTCCCGAATCTCCTCGATGGGTATGTCAAAATGTGTTCAAATTCGTGGAGCTCAAGAACTAACAGGATAGCTTATCCAACATAACCACGAAAACGAAGCTCGTCACATTATCTGGGCGCTCCAGCACAATGCTCATGAAATCGACGAAGATGACCCTGTTGTGAATGTCGATGTTACAGAAATCTCTCGTGCAGTCGAAGAAGAGCAGGAAGCATCATCTGGAGGGTCGTTTAAACTTCTCTTTCAGAATAACAAGCAACGGTTCCTATACAGAACTCTTCTCGGTATGGGGGGTCAAGCCATGCAGCAGCTATCTGGCATTAACCTGATTACCTACGTGAGTCATGAACTTGAAATCTAGATATTAACCTTGCTAATGAACCTAGTATGCCACTGTCATCTTTGAGCAATCCGTTGGAATGTCCCACCATACAGCATTGCTATTGGCGGGTTTCAATGGAATCGCATACTTCTTTTCTTCAATGGTTCCTATTTGGACTATCGAGCGGTATGTCAACCGACTATGAACTCTTGATAGTATACTAATTTCTCCCAGTCTTGGCCGCCGTAAGCTCATGATGTTCGCAGTCATTGGACAGGGCTGCTGTATGGCTATTCTGGCAGGCACTATCTGGGATGGCGGACACGCAGCTGGCTTGGTCGCGACTGTCATGCTATTCCTGTTCAATTTCTTCTTTGCCACGGGCCTTCTTGCCATTCCTTGGCTCTGTGAGTATTCATTTCTCCATATACCATTGTGCCTCAAATGAGCCCAGCACTAACCAAACACGAACACGAAGTGCCCGCGGAGTATTCACCACTTGCAATTAGAACCAGATCAGCTGCCATGGCGACTGCGACAAACTGTATGTGCTTCAGCCCTTTGATTAACGGCAGAAAGCTAATGAGCGCTAGGGATTTGCACATTCCTTGTCGTGGAAATCACACCAGTCAGCATTTCCAATATCGGATATAAGACTTATATCTATTTTGCCAGTATGTGCTGCTCAACTCTTTTATTTCAGTCCCAAGCGCTCGAACTAACTGAATACAGTATTCAACTTCTGCTTCCTCCCATTTATCTACTTTTTCTATCCCGAAACGCAGAACCTCACCCTGGAGCAAATCGATCGGTTATTCACCGACGAGAAGGTTCAGCTCCATTGGGACTTGTCCATGGGAATTGCGGGTGATGTGGACACACGGGTTGAAAATGCCACTGCCAAAGACCTAGAGAGTGTAAATGCTCAACATGTTGAGTAAATTCTTTTAGTGATGGCTGTTTAGCGAGTCAACGCATTTCAGTCCATATTGAATATATAACTAGTACGTTAATGCAAAACGTGGATATTCGGGTGACTCCAGGCTACATATCTTTCGTTAAGACAGTCAATATTATCTCCTTTGCTACTCATGGACCCAACTGATCAATTGGGATTATAACCCGCTTTCCAGATGAACAACGTCGCCACTCGGGGGAAATCCGGGGCCCCGCCAAGCGACCGGACTTTCGCCTCCCAGGCGCTTAAATTTTCCCGATTCGGTAAGAATTTTCACTTCTTCAATACTGTCCATCTTCCGCGCAAACATTCAACGCTATCCTCAGCTTACCCAGGATGGGAGCTTTGAAAAATGTCGAACATGCCCCTGAACAGTCCACGAGCTAGCAGTGATAATAAGAGAACGAGCCGGCAGACTTCCGCTCCGCTAGGACCGCAAGATTCACATCCCCTAAACTCGGGGATGGGACGCAGGAAACGCACGCGAACTGGATGTGTCAACTGCAGTCGCCGGCGGCGAAAATGCGATGAGGCTAAGCCCACCTGCACGGGCTGCAAGCGCCGAGGCGACGAGTGCCAATGGCGGATGCTCGGAGCATTTCGCGATTCCAATATCAAGGTGCTAGAATCAGATCACCCCTCGATGAGCCAAGGTGTGGCAGCGGGCACAAGCAAGCGTCAGAGTAGATTCAAGATCCTGAACTCCGCCCCAATATCCCCACGGGCAAAAAGCGCACCCAAGCAACAGGGTCAAGGAGCTTCTGAGCAAGGACCAGTACAAGAGCGGTCTCCGCTGCCTGCTCCAGATCCCAGTGCCACGCCCGTACCTGTGACTGCTACGGAAAATACCCCGGATCCCACTCCTCCCTTGCTTACCAATGGGGTCCCTAGTCCTGATACCGCGCCCAATCAAGGCCTATCACCACCCTACTCCAGCGAGACATCATCACACCCGTCTCAAAAGTCCATTCAAACCGGATCCCCAGGCCACCCTGAGAATGTGGTTAATGGGAATGATTTGGGGCTTCAAGCGGCGCCTCCCCAGTCTCATTATCCACCAACCATACAATGTGACTTCAATACGCTTGCCCAATCCAGGGATGACTCGTCGCAAATCCATAATTCCAGCCCTGAGTATATGATCGACGGTTTGAGTGGGCCACGGGGCTTAACTCAGAGCGTGCAGTTCCATTCATCTTTGACTGGCTCTTACCAAAATGTTCCATCGCCATTGTTTGATCACAATATCTTTTCCGACCCGGCAGATCTCGTCAACGATGTATTTTTGCCGGGCTCTGCTTATGAAGCACTTCATACGACACTAAGGAACCGCCAGCTATGGACTGCCCTGCCGGATATCACAAATCGTCGCAGCTCGCAAGACTCCATTCCTCCAGTGCATACCCCAATAGCATTTAGTGACGCTGGGTCTTTTTCGAGGACTGACCGGCAATGTCGAGGATTACAACATAGCAGGCGGTTTGAATTATCGCCTGAAAGAGAACATATCTTGTGGGGAAACTATCTCAATGAAATTTGCTCCTGGGTAAGTTGACTGTGTGGACTCCATCATATTGAGAATCCATCTAACACTGGAAAGCTCGACATGTTTGATAATCATCGCCATTTTGCTTCCACATTCCCTCAGATGGCCAAGTCTTCGACTCATCTTCGTTACTCTATGTTGGCATTATCTGCGCGACAGCTCGAAAGACAGCAAAACCGGAAATCGCAGTCAGAGAGCCTATATCTGTACCAGGAAGCCATTCATCTCCTTCTGCCTGAGTTGGGAAGTAAAACCACTCCTGTTATAGCTTCTTGCGTCATCTTGTGTGTCTTGGAAATGTTGAGCTGTAGGTATTCAGGGTTCCCACTATCGTGCACTTGAGATTTGACCAATGATAGGTAATCCCAAGGAATGGCGTCGCCATTTAGACGGCTGTGCGTATCTTATTCAAGCAGCTGGTATCAACGGCTTCTCCGGGAAGGAAGAGCAAGCGCTTTTTTGGTGCTTTGCTCGGATGGGTATGAAACCCTCTTTCCTGTATCATCCCGGAACTTTTTGTTCAGTTTCCTGACTTCAATCAGATGTTTGCGGTGGTCTCATCTCTGAGGAGGAGACCATCATACCTATCCACAATTGGCGGCCAATTGATATGAGCTACAACGAAGCTGCGCAGACATTTATATCTTCAGCCAAAACCAATTTCGATACATATGCCAACTATACAGTATATCTCGTCGCGCGAACGGTGAACGTTCTTTTCGGCTGTGCTTCAAGAACGTCTCACCCTTGCACGTCATGCCAATCTGTTCCCAACGACGATGGCGACTCATACCTTGATCGCTGGGCAGATTCGTTTGAGCGTGTAGAAGAGTGGTACGATAATCGACCCGCCCAGATGAAATCAATATTCAGCGTCGCTGCTTCCGAGCGCGAAGAACTGGATCGAGTTTTTCCGATCGCGTTGTATGGGAATGGAGCTGCTAGTAAGGTTCCTCCGTTTTGCTATTGCTCTTTTGTTTTCGTATACTAATATTGGTTAGTATCCGGGAACCAGATGTATCATGTAGCAGCCTTACTGTTGCTTCAGCGAAAGCCAAAGACATTGACATTGAGCAAGAGACCGGTCGGTTATATTGCACGTTCTTTTTTACTGCCCGAGGCTGATGAACAAATAGAGATCGGTTCTTTGGCATGCTCGCCAAATCTGTGCAATATCCGCATCCAACACGCATCAGTGAGTTTATCGACCATTACTTGACTGAGAAAAGACAGGAATACGGCGCCAGATTGCTAACCTTTTGCGATGTCCGTGACTAGTGGCTGCTGGACTAATGCACTTCAACCTTTGTGGATAGCTGGAAAGGCTATGTCTCACTATTCTGAACACACTGCCATTGTTGAAACATTGGTCAAAATTGAACGCGAGACTGGCTGGGCTACTGCTTGGCGTGTTGAAGACCTTAAAGAGTTTTGGGGCGAATACGATAACGAAGACTGTGATGTCGACATGGATTAAGTTGGAGAGTTTAACGATGTCTCACCATCTATTCAACACAGCAGAAACCATATATATTATATATCCTCTATATCGATATTCAGGGAAGATTTCACAAAGCATTCCTATCTGCATAAGCTTTAACGCCCAATGAAAACATACTTTTTTCTAGCTTACCCTTTCGTGTTGTAATCATTCTAGCTCAATACTTCGTTACTTTGAAGTGCAACTTGATTAAATTGAATCTCCAAGAGTGAAACTCCCTCACAATTGACTTCAACTTTCATATAGAAGAGCCATCGTCCATCTTTTCTTAAGAACCAAAGGAAGCATTCTGAGTCAAATAGATGGCATTTGTATGCAATGCTGGATCAGATATAAAATAGTTGTTACTATCACTTCCCCTCTTGGAAGTGTTTGCCATCTGATTCTGGTCTTTACCTTAACCTCTCATCAGTCACAGAAGGCGGTTCTTCTAATCTTCTTCCTCTCCTTCCTCCACCGTACTTTCTCTCCAAGTCTCTCTCTATATCTTATCTCCATCCTTACTCATTTCTTCAGCTTCTTGCCCCTATCTACTCAAGATGGAGTCAACCAAGGTCCCCAAGAGACCCACGCTACGATGGGACCGATACAAGCGACAGGTGCTCTGCTGTTTGTATCGCTTCTTTCTTTGTAGCAAAAAGCAAACTGAAGAGATATTCTCCTACATGTTTCGGAGTCATCTAAACGAGCGCGGCATTCAAGGCTTCGTTCCATTTGCCACACTTAACACCCAGTGGGTTTGGATGAAGAGCAAACGGGACCCAATTTGGTCCCATGTACATACAAGCACCGCGTTTGACACTGATGGCGAGTGGAAAGAGATCATTACAAATATCAAATCCGCAGCCAAAACTTTGCGGTTCGAACTTCATGAGAAGACAGAGGACAACATCAACATATCGCGCTGGAGTCCTGGGGGGTCCGATGACGAACGGAGTATTGCATCCGTCAGTTGATATTAGACATATCTAACCTGCAATTGCAAGCTGATCATTCATTCTCTTAGAATGAGCCCGCACCAATGCTTCCGCATTTCCTCTCTACTCCAAAGACTCTCAGCGCCATGGTTTTGGTACCCCCAGGGCGGCATCATGGCTTCGGTGGAAGTTCCAAAGCCACCCAAAGCATCGATCGAAGCATCGGCCACAACATCAACCAGAACATCAACCGGATTATCGAGCGGAATGACTTCCAGAATGACCTCCACAATGAACTCCATAGATCCAACGAGCCGGTCGTCACTAGCCATGGAAAGTTCTGCTTCTGGTGCAAACATGAAGGAGTCATCTACGACTCCGAGGAAATCCAGGAATTGCAAGCCAAAGACTACGACGATAGTGGTTATGAGGATCATAGTCATGGTAACCAACATAATGACCCACAAGACGATCCTGGTATGAGAGAGGACGCCCAAGGATTCAAGCAGTTTATGAGGGGGCTACACGATGAAGTCTCTTATTCGGATGAAGAATTGTTCGATTCAGAGAGCGAGGCAGACCTGATGACACCACATGAAAGCCTCTCAAAAGTGCGCCCATTTTGCGACCCACCCTTGTCCTCGCCTTCAGACCTAGAACAAGAGCCTCTGGATTCTGAGGATAATTCAGATTGGTGCGCTGACAGAGAAAGCCCCGCTGATTTGGCTGGTTTTGGGCCCCCTTCGATCTCAATAGAAGACCGGAGTGGTGCCCTTGTCGATCGAGTTTCCGCACAAGAGGCTCTGTTTAGATTCAGGTTCCCCCGGACCCGCGCGGCTCACAATGAGGCACTCGACGACGGCTCCGGTGGTCAGAGGGAGTTGCAGTCTGAATGGCTCTCGGATGATGAAATGATGGTGGAAACTCTACGCCAGATGTCCGTGGAAGCTCTCCGCCAGGTTGAAAACCAGTCAACTCGTCGCTTTGCTAACCAGGAGGAGATGGATGTCTTGATGTATGACGGCAATACCTGGAACCAGGTGTAACAAGAGTGGATGGATACTACATAATAATGTCTGGAGTCAAGTGTCTCATATTTGACATCAATACATCTGGGCACAGGTTGGAGCTTATGAAAGAGCTCAATTCGGAGAGACATAACTAAAAAAGAATAGGGCTTCTTCCTCAGAAGGGCCTTAAATAGGGGAACATAGCGAATTCGACTAAAAGCTATCAAGAAAAAAAAGAAAATGAACCACACAGTAACTACACACAAGAGAAGAGAGAAACATCTATATAGACGATCTCATAGAGTAACAAACATCAATGTTGGCCCCATTTCATAAACATCCATCTTCATCCCATCTTGTTCAACCGGTTATATTGTCGATTTCCCCGACGGGAGGTCCGGGTTAAATTGAGGATGATTATCGATGCTCTCATATTTATGCGCAGTCGGCAATGCCCCATCCATTTGTGCTTGAGTCGCGGTAGGAATTCTCGGGCCACGCATAAGGGGATTCGAGGGATTGTAGTCATATAACCACAAACAGTTCGAGTTATCGGGGGCTGTTGCTGTATAGAACTTCCAACGCATCCAAGGACCATTCCGGCGTTTTGTTCCACGCTCAGGAAGGACAACAACCGGTATCGAGTCCCAACTGGCTGCCATATATTGCTTCTCTTGCTCATCCCACATGTTGACTTCCAATTCTCTTACTAACATGGCTTCCTTGCTCCCATCGCCCAAAGTTCCGACTAAGACACTCAATAGTCGAGGTACGGGGTACATAATGCCCTTGGCTTGTAGGTTGGTTCTTAGTTGATCCACGTTGTTTTCATAAAGGACCATATAGTCGGCCCCGGTATCATCCTTGAACGAGAATTCAAAGGGCCCAGGTGATGGTTTACCGCCTGCTATAAGGATTCGAAGAGCAATTGACATCTAAGAAAATGTTAGAACCAACATTTAGCATTAGAAGATTGTATAGGCATACCTCTGCTGCCCACTTTCTAGGCCCCGTTCCACATTCGATCACAGCCTGTTGACTACTAGGTCCAGGGCCATCTATCTAATAATCTAAGTCAGCATACTCGTTCATCTAATAATACCGGATTGACAAGACGTACACCCTCGACCCAAAACCCCATCTCGTTTCCCTGGTGCTTGTCATAAAGATAGTGGAATTCATTCCACTTGAAGGGCCTTGGCGCACAAAGCTCGGCTCCATTGTGCCAGTAGGTGACAAAGCCATGACACCAGTCCAGGACACCTGATCGGTAGGCTAGAATGACATTTTGAACATTCTTGGCGATCTTGTATTTGTCCTTGACGGCATTGCTCTGAGTCCATTCCAGGACAGAGTTGAGATCATCTAGGCGTCGCACAACGGGCGAATTTAGCCCCTGCTCCGCAGCCATTTTTTCACTATATGGGATTAAAAGGATTAGTGACTGTCTATATAGGTTAGTACTGGTATTTCCAGCAACTAATTTGGACTTTACTCATTAATCGGATCCGGCTCTCTTGGATTCCAGCCTTTAGGTGCCTCCGCCCGATCTGTAATAGCAGTCATTACCGGACGCTGCTTGGAAGGCCTTTGGTGGCATAGGTTCCAGCTTCTTTTTAGAGTAATCGGTTTTCAGATCGGCCAAGAAAGCTTTCACGTCCAGAGGTTTTGGGTTAGGCGCCTCTTTCTTTTGTTTCTTTCTTGCGGAGCCTGACTCTGCCTGCAAATCATCTGGAGCTGCCCTTTATCCCTTAGTCGTATAGGGAGGTTGGGTTCAAACTGACCTCTAGTCGCTTCATTGCGCTGTTCTTGCTATTTTTCACTAAAGAAACCCTGGGGTTTTCGGGCCCGGGGGGTTTTACCATCGCCCGGGTTGCCAGGCATTTTGAAATAGAAATCAGTGTCGTGAGATTGATACTTTATAGACATATGGAGGATGAAGCAAAAGTCAGACAGATCTGACTACGAAGCGTTTGTCACAGCATTTCGTATAGAATATCTTTCTTTGATGAGATTCGTTCGAGACGCTTCTTCGATTTCTCTTTGTGCATTTTCCTTCTTTTTTTTTTTTTTTTTTTTTTTTTTTTTTTTTTTTTTTTTTTTTTTTTTTTTTTTTTTTTTTTTTTTTTTTTT